CGCTGGCTGCCCATGACCATCTGTACTTTAACTTTGGCCAGCAGCCCTTCGCCTACCCGCCGCCCAAGGACCTGAAGTGGACGGACTTTCACAGTGCCGCCGCCTTTGACTTACGCCAGTACCAACTGCTGCAGACCTCGCTCACCGGTGGCACGTACTGGTTCAAGCGGCAGCTGATCAACAACGCCGTCGAGCCGCTGATGAAGGACGCCCGCCAGAAGGACTTCAACCGGTGGATCAAGGAACTGGAGTCGAGGATTTTCGTGGACGACTTTGACTACGAGTACTTCTACGGCGACCTGAAGTGGGAGTTTGAGGCGCTGATGAAGGACGAACTGGCCTACATTCGCCTGATCCAGGCGGTGATTCGCAAGCTGGGCACACTGGCCACTGCCGACCAAATCGACGTCGTCGTCGGCTGGATCATCTACTACCTCTCCACACTAGACGACACGCTCTCCAACAATGGGCGTGAGGTGCCCGAGATTTGGTTCTTTGACCGCTCTGAGGTGGACTCGAGCGCCAGCTGTCCCAATTTGCCAGCGCCGGCCAAGTTCCTGGAGATGATCTACCCGTACATGCAGCTCAGTCCTCAGTCGGAGGCGGACGTGCTGAAGATCCGCAACACTGCCATTGCACTCTCCATACTGGCGCGAAAGTACTGGTACCTGAAGGACTTCTTCACCCAAGAGGTGGTGGCTTTTGTGTGCAGCATCCTCTCCGAGTCGCAGGACAACTGCAGCATGCTCTTTTCGCTCATCTGCCTGGACAATCTGGTGATGGACCGGCGCGTCAAGGAGAAGGTCCTCAGACAGCTGTCTACCCGACTGCCGCTGCTGGCGAAGTACCTTGAGCAGCTTTCGGTGGGAAACATTTTCGACGAGCAGCACTTTGATGCGGCTCGCTACCAGTTGGCATTCTGCGCCCGCTGGTGCCTCGACTACGTCCTCGTCGACGACAGTATCCGTAAGCCTCACATCGACTCCAGCGCCGACACCAGTTCACTAAGCCACATCAGCCGAAGCAGCAAGAGGGACACTCTGAACTGTGAGTCACGGACTGAGCAACTGAAACTTTCGCCAAATGCCCTCTCGGCACGCTCCGACGACGGTTGGCAGTCTGTGAAGTCGACCTTTGCCGTCACCAGCGGCGTCTACTTCTACGAGGTCATCCGCCTCACCTCCGGGCCGATGCGCATCGGCTGGGCGACCAAGGAAACCGACTTCTACCGAACGAACGTCGGCGATGACCGGCACTCCATTGGTCTGGACCGCTTCCAGCGGTGCATCTGGCACGACGCAGACCGCTTCAAGATCAAGTCAGTGCAGCCGCTCTGTGCGCCTGGCGATGTCATCGGCTGTCTGATCGACGTGCCTAATCAGAAGTTCACCTTTTACCTGAATGGCAGCGTGATCAGCATCAAGAAGCAGTTCTTCAAGCGCTTCAACTTCTCCGCCGAGCCCACCTACTACGCCGCTGTCACCCTTTGGCCCTTTCAGCATGTCGCCTTCAACTTTGGCCAGGCGCCCTTCAAGTACCCGCCCAAGGGCGTCACCTTCAGTGACTTTTACTCCGCCAGCACGACCAGCACCTCGCCTTCGGCGTCCACCAGCGCCAGCACCAGTCCCTCGGTGACGGCCAAGCACTCTGGCAATCTGCGCCGTCGAATCTTCGACATGCTGCCCAGTGTTGCTCCGAGGGTTTCCATTAGTGCGCCCACCATTAAATGACCAGGGCTTCTAATTCACTTTTTCCACCTTCAACCTACTTCCGCACCTCAACCACCATCATCATCATCTTGCAAATGTTTACACTTTATTTACCCAATAAAAAGTACTTTCAATACCCAGCAGCAGTCATTACTTATTATCTCTAAAAGTTCAGTTTTGCGTAACTCACACTCGAACTTTGAAAATAAATTACAAGTTTATGATCTTCGGCAGATGAAAGATATAAAATTGACAAACAAGTTAGTACTTCATGTAAGTATAAAACAATAATATAAATGACATGTCTGATAAAGTAAAAAATAATGTAAAACAAAACAATTTAATTATTTTGAAGATTTTTTCTTTGCTGTGACAGTGGTGATGGTGGTGTTGGTTGAAGCTAATGTAGAGGTTCCATTTGATGATGATGATGATGATGATGCTGGTGCAGAGATGCCATTTGCAATAGAATTTGTTGTTGTAGAGGGGTCAGTTTTTGGATCGTCGAGTGTTTTCGCTTCGGCAAAAGCAAGGTCTATCCCAAAAAATGAAAACATTAGTATTTTTGCAAAACATTTTGTAATAAAATGACTAAATTCACCGTTTGTGTTAAGAAAAACACCAGAAATAAGTGATTCACTTGCCTGGCAATCGCCAAGAATATTCAAAAAGCGAGCTCTTGCCATTTCTCGTTCCTCTTCCAGACCAAGTTGATAAGCTACATTTTGAATGTCTTTTACTTTGTCTAGCAAGGCAGAAGTGGTCAGACTGCTAAAACCATAAAGCATGGCTACCTCTTCATCGTCAAGTCCTTGCTGGTAGTCCGGGACAGTGGCCTTTGCAGGCAGCTTTACAGGTTTTCTCTCCACCTTGGGAATTATATTGGAGATACCCTTAGAGGTGGAAGGTTGTGATGCCATACTGTTGTCGAGGAATCCGTCAACAGGACTTGCCCGACTTGAATTTTCAGTTGATTCACAGTTTCTATCGTCGAGTGACCCTCTTTCTTCAGAATCGGAATTGTCAGTGCTTCCACCACTTTTATGTTTCTTTTTTTCAGGAGCAGAGCTAGCCAGCCCGTACCCTGTGAAGCCAAACTTTCGACTGTACTTTTTCACTGAAACCGCTTCAATCGAAGCGAAATCTCCACAAGAATTATTGCCAATTTGTTGGTTTGATTGCTCTAGGTGGTTATTCGTTGAGCTTTGTGATGATTGAAATTGGAGTTCTTGCAAAGAGTTATCTTCCATTTCAGTAATAGGACAGCTCCCAGAAATAAAATTAACAACACCTGGAACTAAGAGAAAAGTACACAGATGATTAGTTAGAAGCATACAAAGAGCAGACCAAGAGTTACCTTGCTCCGGCCACATTTCTGGTGATCTTCGATCCAAGTTTTCATCACTGTACAAAAGCCGTGCTGCATCTAAACGTTCTAATCATAAAGTAGTACAAATTTAATAGTAGTAACGTCGTACACAGGTAAAATATACGTCAAATACCTGTAGCAGTGATGGGTACTGAAGTGGCCGCCCCAAGAGCACTATCCATGATTACTTGCACAAAAACAGTATACTTTTAAAAATAAAAAAGTATCAAACAAGCTTAACTAGCACACTGCTAAAAGTGCTCCAAAAAGAGGCGTTTCTGGTTCAAAATGGGGCGATTTTAAGTTGAAACCGAACAGAATGCACTTGAATTCTGCTTAGCGCGGTTTTGCCTTGGAATTGTTTTGCTGACAAATTGATACTTTTTCAAGTGTGGCGGCGCTCTTAGCAGCCGACTACAGTTCGTAGAAGCTGTTACCGGCGATTTTCTAATCAAAACATTGGTCATTTTTTGTGGTACATATGGTTCGACTAAATCTGATAACCTGAGTTCATTAGTCATTGCTAGAAATCCGGAATAAATACTTGAAGTATTTATCTTTAATAAAAGTACAATAAGCGTTGCACCTTTCCACTTTTTCTGCCTGAAGATGGTTGTTTGCTGCAACTCGCATTTCTACTTCAAATGGATTCATCTCTGGTAATGACCATGTCAACATATTTTCGGAAGCTTACCGGTGTTAATCTTACTTTCTCATGGCCGTAGAATGTTCTCGCGAAAGAACACAGAGAAAAGAATTTACGTTCTCCTAGCTGTTTATCAACAAACAGCTGATTGCAACTTCTAAATGTAAACAACATTAGTGGCACGACTGAATTCGAAATGATATGGCCAATAAGTTGGCAAACTCGCACTGGAAAAAAGTCATTCTTTCTTCATAGTGATTTTATTTCAACCAAAAATGGCTCCAGCAGTTCTCGTCAAAAGTGCAAGTGAAGAGAAGCCAGTCACTCTTGATCCTCAGATAGTCGAGCGATTTGGAATGATTTATGGTAAGCAATTTCGCTATCCACTGATTCAATCAGTTCTAATCATCTTCATTAAAGATGGCGATTTGTCAATCACCATTTCTATGGTCATTTTTATTGGCCTCGCCGTTCTGGCCATCTTTTGGGCTCGTATGTATCCGGACAATCGACGCAATCCTAATAAAGAATTCGTGGTCTTTCTACTTGATCCAAAGAGTAACACTCGTGGCGCTCGTACTGGGCAAGCTGGACAAGAGACAGGCAGTCCGGTTCCGCCGGATGATAACAACAATCCGCTCCAAAACGGTAATTAAGATTAGCTAATTCTCTTGTCATTCACTAATTCACTACTTATAGAGACTACTGCTCGCAGCATTCCTACTCCCAAAAGAAAGAGCAAAAACACTCCTTCAAAGTGAAGTACCACGCAAATGCTTGCTCTTGAAATACTTTTCTTTAAAATTAATCTAATTTTGCTGTACTTGCACAATCATTTCAACTTGTTATTGAACCTATTCTCATTGATGAATAAATGTCATTATCGGTTTCAGGTTTTGCTTGGCAAATCGCGCGCCCTTCCTTGTCTGCGCTATCGTTTCTGCCAACAATCGATGATCGATAAAACAGGAAAAGAATGCACAGTGGCGCATTGTCTGCTCCGAGGTGATTTGGGGCGGAGCAAAAAGCACTGCCAACACAAGGCCTTTCTAGTTACCACTTGTCTAAATAAACTCCGCCTCCAACGAGCAGCAAGCGCTTGATGCACCGCCGTGCGCAGCGCTCTTGCTCGGTGAGTCTCGTCGGCGACATCGGCTATTTATTTGCGGCGTGGCCGATATCTTTTTGTTGCGACGCTCCCGTTTGCATCAAGTGCTTCTCGTCCCCCGATCACCACAATCTACGCATTTGAGACTTCATCACCTGAAACGTCAGGATGCCGACCTACTTCATTCACCTTGAGAATGCTCTCAAGCGTGCTAATGGTAATGTACCCCGTTGATGCAGCGTGGCTAATCTTGCTAACCGTTTTCTTCTTTCACCAAATCACCAGAATTCATCGAGGTGCAAAACAAACTTCGTGCCCTCGAGATTCTCTGCGATGTCCTTCACAGCAAGAAGCATCGTACCTGGCAGAAGAAGCATGAGGAGATCATGATGAAGTACCTCGAGCTGTGCGTTGAGCTAAAGCAGAGCTACGTTGCGAAGGAGGGCATTTATCAGTACAAGATCATCTGCCAGCAGTCGTACATTGGCTCGTTTGAGGATGTTATTCGCAAGTACATTGCCATGGCTGAAGCCAAGGCCAATGAGGCGAAGGAGGAATCGCAAGTGAGCATTGCCGATGTGGACGACCTGGAGAATGCCCAGACGCCGGAGGATATTCTCATGTCCGCCGTCTCCAATGAAGGTAACCAGGATCGAAAGGATCGTGTTGTACTCATCCCCTGGGTCAAATTTCTGTGGGAGTCGTACCGCCAGTGCCTTGACTTGCTTCGACACAATAACAAAACTGAGCGTCTGTACCATGACATTGCGCACCAGGCCTTCAAGTTTTGCATCAAGTACAATCGAAAGTCCGAGTTTCGTAAGCTTTGTGATCATTTGCATCTCCACATTGACCAGCTAAAGCGTCAGCAGACACAGCAGCAGTCGGAACAGCAAAAGGCTAACTCGATCAATCTGAACTCGCCCGAGACTCAGGCCCTTCAGCTGGAGACTCGTCTCATTCAGCTTGACTTTGCGATTCAGTTGGAGCTGTGGCAGGAGGCATATCGAGCCACTGATGACATCAAGAAGTTTAACCTGATGAACCTGACGAAGAAGGGTCTCGGAAAGCCGCAGCTGATTGCGAGCTACTACCAAAAGCTGGCCCTTGTCTTCTGGAAGGCTTCTTCACACCTCTTCCACGCTGCTGCTCAATTCCGTCTCTTCCACCTGTCAAAGGAGCTGCGAAAGAACTTGTCGGCGGATGAAATTCAAAAGATGTCTTCCCGTTTGGTGCTTGCCGTTCTCTCCATCCCGATTCCGGCCATTCGCCCGGAGATTGACAAGCTCGTCGACACGGAGGAGAACGTGATCGATCAGCATCACCGCAACCTGTCAATGCTGTTGGGCATCACCTCGAAGCCGCCGACTCGCGCCTCGCTGATTAAGGATCTGAAGCGAATGGGCGTGCTGCAGTTTGCTTCTCCGCAGATTCAAGAGCTGTTCTCCCTTCTAGAGGCAGAGTTCAACCCGCTAAGCATTTGCACCCGTGTTCAGTCCATCATTGACTACATCGAGAAGGTGGCTGCCGATCCTGCGAAGGGCTCTGAGGAAATGCTGCAGTACATCCCTGCGCTAAAAGAGGTCACCTCTATCCGCCTGATTCGTGAGGTGTCTCAAGTCTATAAGACCATTGACTTCCCTCGTCTCTTGGAACTTTGCCCCTTTGTCAACAAATGCGGCCTGGAGAAGCTGGTCGTCGAGTCGGCTCGCCGCCACGACCTTCAAGTGCGAATTGACCACCGCAAGGGATGTTTCATCTTTGGCACTGAGCTGCGCGTTTCAACGGGCGACGAGTTTGTCGAAGGCCCTTACCTGCAGTCGATGCCCAACGAGCAGATGCGTCGCCAACTGGTGTCCATGTACTCCTCTCTGCAGAAAGCACTGCACCTCATTGACTCGGACTCCATTCGCAAGGAGCGCGAAGCCTTGAAACGTCAAACTATGCGAACCTACCACGCTGTTGCCAACGTCGAACATCGCCAAATTCTCAATCGCCAGAATTTGATTGAAAAGCGCCGTGAGATGATGGAGCAGATTGGCATGCAGCGGGAGATGCACGAGCGCAAGCGAATTGAGGAGGAAGAGGCTAGGCGACGCGTGGCCGAAGAAGCTCGCCTTCTGGAGGAGACCAAAGAACGTGAGCGCATTCGTCGAGAGAAGGACGAGAAGGAGCTAATGAAGCAAATGACTATGGATCAGCTGAAGAAGATGAAGGACGCCCTGCCTGACCTGCGACTGGACGACCTCGACGAGGAAGAGCTGGCCAAGCTGAAACCCCAGGACCTGCATGCCAAGCGCGTGGAACAGCTGGAAAAGGGCCGCAAAGAGGCGCAAGCCAAGCAGCGAAAGGTGGAACGAAAGTTGGACCACTTTGAGCGTGCCAAACGCGTGGAGGAGCTGCCACTGCTTCAGAAGCAGTACGAAGAGTGGCGTGTCACTGATCGAGAAGTGTGGGATCAGTGTGAAATACTGCGAATCGAGGCCATGAAGGCCGAACGAGAAGTGGCCCTCAAGGAGCGAGAACGCTTCCGCCGTGTTCTGGGCGACAAGGAGGAGTTCACCCGCCGGGTGCTGGAAACTCGCCGCAACGAGTACGAGGAGCGTCTGAACTCCTTTGAGGCGATTGTCAATGAGGAGCGCAAGAAGCGACTGGCCGCTCGCCGAGAGAAGCGCATCGAGGAGCGTCGCGTGCGCTACCACAAGGAGAAGGAAGCCGCCCGCCTGGCCTCCCTCGCCGCCCAAGAGGAGAAACAGCGAAAGCGTATGGCGGAGATTGAGGAGAAGATTCGCCAGCAGCAGCAACTGAATGAGGAGAAGGAGAGTGTCGTCCGAAACGGTGTTCGCCCCAGTGCGGCCCCACTTCAGCAGGAGGAGACTGGCGGCGGAGGCAACTGGCGTGCCCGGGCCACACGACCCAAGGAGGCCGAACTGGAGCCGCAGCCGATGCGCCGCAATGCGCCTCCCTCTGCTTACCCACCATCATCACAGCAGCACCAGGAGGAGACTGGTGGCGGCAACTGGCGCTCCCGAGCCCCGCGACCCAAGGAAGCCGAACTGGAGCCGCAGTCAATTCGCCGTAATGCTCCTCCGTCTGCTTACCCACCATCATCGCAGCAGCAGCAGGAAGAGTCTGGTGGCGGAAGCAACTGGCGCACCCGTGCTCCCCGTCCGAAGGAAGGCGAACTGGAGTCGCAGCCAATGCATCGAGCTGCTCATCAGCCTGCGTATGCTTCGCAGCAGAGAGAGCAGCAGCAGCAGGACGAGACTGGCGGAGGAGGTATGTGGCGCCGTAACCGACCCAAGGATGGTGACCTCGAGCAGCAGCCAATGCATCGCGGTGCCTCGTCGCAGCAGCCGCCGCCGCAGGACGACGGCGAAGGACAGTGGCGCCAGAGCCGACAGAGCCGTCTTCGACGCCCGAACATCACCAGCGAGCCGCCGCCAATGCCCCCGATGCGCGGTCCACCTCGTCGCAACTAATTGCCGAACAATTGATTATTATTACCTACAGCACACCCACACACATCGCCATTTATTGTTCTTTTCGGATGTGTGCGCAGGGACTGAATTTCCGTGTGAAAAATTATTGCTACTTCTATGTAAAACACCTAATAATGATATTTAAATTCCTATTCTTTATGTCAATAGTCGGTGGTGTCCTGTACCTTTCCCTTCTTCTTTTTCTTCTATCTCTATGCACATACTATGCTCTCTCTCATATATTTGCATAATACATCAGGCGCCACTCGGGTTCTCTCTCTTTGCATGGTGCTCACTCTGACGCACAGAGAGCGGGAAAGGGAGAGAGAGTGAGAGTGAAGCCCAGTGAGCACTTCACTTTGGCTGTTTCGGTGGTGAAGGGCACCTTGAGAGAGAGAGAGAGAGAGCGAGAGAGCACTACTTGAGCAGGAGAGTGTGTTACCTTCCATATCTGCCATCACGGCGGAATGCATGCCTGCCTGACTCGGCCTCTGTCTGGGTGAGTGCCTGCACTGCCAGCCCCAGCAGCCACCATATTGCACCTCTTCCGCATCACTTCGGCGATGTGGCCGATGCTGGAAAGCAGTCGGTTGGCGCGTAGGACAGGAAGCAGTTCAGTTCGAGCAGTGTCAGTTGATGCAGTGTCAGTAGTCAGGTTGGCACTTCGAGGCAGTCATCATCATCTACTTGATTACCTGCTATATACAAGCAGTGCGAGCGATCGAGTTGGTGGTCGGGTGCACCATGGTGTGCACTACCCTGTACTACCATCCCCCTGTCTGCCATCTTGTCTGCCACTGCCTGTCTGCTGTCCTCTCTGCTGGAGGCACCTCTCTCCAAGCAGTGTGTTCACTGTCGCTGGGAGAATGTGCCCCATTCGGGGCCGAAGCAGTGCCTAGTCTTTCTCTTTCTCTGATCGCCCGCCATTTTGGTCTCCTCTATAGCGTCTGACTGCCCCGCACACACACTGGCAACCCTTCGTCAGTGCAAAGGTAGAAGGTGCGCTGGGAAAGACTGCAAGTGCAGTAGTGCTGCTGTAGTCTTCATGCGCTCTTGCTGATGATGATGATGGTGGTGCTGGTGCTTCACACTGCTCACTAAGCTACCCAATACGCAGCACTGAACTGTATAGCAAGTTTGAAGAGTGAGAGAGAGAGAGAGTGAGTGAGTGAGAAATAGATAGATAGATAGAAAGTGAGAGAGAGCGAGAGAGAGAGACAGTATGGATTGGGCGCCATGGAGCGACTTGACAAGGGAGAAACGAGCCGGGCTGCATCCCACACCAGCTCATGACCAGGGTCAGCACTGCTCCTAGCCACCAGCCTCCTCCTCAAATTCTGCCTCCGCCGTTCACTGCTCAGGCGCCCTGGCCGCCGTCGATCCAGAGGACACTCGAGGATTGCCTGCATCCAGACTTCTTTGTCTGGGAGCTGGGCAAATTGATTCCTCATCCATCTCTGCGCCTCTTCGCGCACTTTGCGACAACCTCTCCTTCGAGCAAGAAGCACCACTCTCAGCTCCCCACTAACTGCGTCTCCTCTCCGCCGCCATCGCCATCGCCTCCATCCATCCCCATCCATCCATCCATCCACCGGGATCATCCAGCAGATATCAGGTATGTCTTGGTGACTTCATCTGTTCTGTTCACTTCTCACTAGTCACTTCAGTTCTTCTTCCACTGGCATCTACTTGAACAGCAGCAGCAGAAGCTTGTTTACAGAGTCTGAACTTGCAGTGCAGCACTTGTCCGCCGCACTCGCATTCATCGTCAACACGTTTCAGCGGAAGACATGCCGCTGAAGTGAGACCACTGACAAAATACACAGCACAGCACACCTTCTACCGCCATTACCACTTTCACTTGTTTTGCCACCTAAAAATCGTCATCTAACATCATCCCAATCACAATGCCACTGATAAAGTGCGAAGAGTATTACATCAACAGCCTGTCACAGAAGATTCTGCTCTTCGACCAGAAACTTGCCACCGTCAATGACTACGATGATTTCTACCGCATTCTGGGCAAGTTTATTGAGCGCGTTCCCGAAAGTTTTAACTTTTGGAAGCACTACATACGATCGTTTGTGGAGAAGCTGCGAAAGGCACCGCTGGTCTCCTTCTCCAACTGGAATCTATACTTTATCAGCAATGTGCCAAAAATACATCTGCCCGCTCCGATTGATCTCATCGACTGCGTCACACCGTACTTGGGTAAGTGCTGCTGCTATATATAAACAAATGCATATCACTATATGAGCTTCCGACTGACAGAATTTATATTACCTTAGCTAAAAGTACCTGCTTCAGCGCCTACCTGACATCAGAAGAGGCAACTAATTTGGCGAATGCCGCCGTAGTGGTGGCCATGTTCATTCAGTTTCTCTACAATGATGAGGAAGTTCTTGCACTCTTTCTCGATGAGAGCAATCTCTTTTTCTATCTGGCTCGCATTATCTTGAATCACAAAGATAATGTCGTTGCCTCCACCTATGCCACTCTGGCCATTCTCGGCGCCTTCCGGGTAAACAACTCACTGCCAAGATCACGGCATAGTGAAACACTGAAGCGAATTAGAGACTGCAGCAACTTGACGTGCTTCATCAGGGCGCTGAAACAGGAGGCAGAGGTGTTCTATGAAAAGGGCGAAACGATGTGCAAGGAGGAGGATGCACTGCTCATTCTGCGATCCATCGTAGCGCAACGTGCGCTGGACTGCTTTCAGGTGAACAGCACCCGAGCGGATGATCTCTCGCGCGACATGTGGATCTTTGGCAGTGACCACCACTTTGGCTGGTCCACCCACCAAAGTCTGACCCCGATCGACCACGACTCGGGCAAGAAGTTCTACTTTGAGGTGTTCCACCTCTCGCTGGGCTCACTGCGCGTCGGCATTGCCCACCAGCCGACGGAGAAGCACCTGGCGAACTGGTTCGACCTGGCGGCCTTCAAGGGTGCCATCACCTTTGATGCATTCGAGAAGATTCACTGGGTGTACGGCAAGGAGCGCACCTGCACGGGCATGAGTCGCCCCGAGCGGGAGGGCTACGTGGTGGGCGTCACCATCGACACTACGGCGCGCTCCTCTCTGGAGCTCATTCAGTTCACTGTGAACGGGGTGAAGGTGGAGAGCGACCCGCCGGTGAGCGGCTCTCGTCACTTTCCCTACTCAGTGTCCAGCAAGAAGCGAAAGACGGCGCCCCTGTGGCACCAGCCCTACTACGTCTCCTTCGCCACCTCGGCCCTGCAGAGTTGCATTGTCCTGCGCAATAGGGAGACCTGGACCTACGCTGACCCGCTCCTCGCTGACCAGCTGACCGAGGTGGACTGTCAGTTTGTGCGCATCATATCCAATCTCAATCCCAAGTCGGCAGCCTGTAGTTCACCGCCGCAGCCACCAGCGGCAAATGGGCCATTCGCCAGTCAGGCGACCGGCAACTTTGGCATTCAGGAGAGTCAGTACAGTGCTGCCCCAGCATTAACCAACACTACTGAGCCTCCTCGTCCAAAGTATCATTTCGTTTTGCGCAACTCCAAGCGATGTCTTCAAAAGATGATTCCTCAGCAGCAGCAGCAGGNCAGTACAGTGCTGCCCCAGCATTAACCAGCACTACTGAACCTCCTCGTCCAAAGTATCATTTCGTTTTGCGCAACTCCAAGCGATGTCTTCAAAAGATGATTCCTCAGCAGCAGCAGCAGCAGCAGCAGCATCAGCAACTGGAACTGGAACAGGACCAGCAGCAACCACCTCAGGAGTATAAGCAGGAGCAGGTGGAGTCCAGTTACGTCATAACTATTGATCCAGCGCACATTTTGCCCGATATAAGTTTGCCCTCATATGAGACACCCTGCTGCACTGGCGAGCAGATACTGATTCAGAGTGCTCATGAAAGCTATCAGAACCAAAGCATGCCTCAAGGCATGCAAAGCTTTCAACAGGTTTACATTGAGCAGCCATCAACGAGCACCCAACAAGAGATTACTCTTTTTGAGGGCTTTCAGTCTTTCTTCAACACTGTTACATTTCAACCTTCCATTCCTCTGCTTGATTGCGATAACTCTGCACCATCAACTCTGCCAGCTCCACCAACTCAGCCCACTCCACCCACCCCATCGCCTGTTCAGTCTGACAGCAGTTTGCTGCAGGCCCTCGGTTCTCCTCTCTCTCAGACGTCCTCGCAGATATCTCTAACGCCGCCTTACGTCGTCGGAGAGCCGCCACTGTTCGTCCTGAGTCCATCAAACTGCAGCTCACCCTCCTCGCAGCAGTCCTTTCCAGAATCGACCCCAAGTCCCCGGTACCAGGTGGCAGAATCGCCAAGGAGTGCATCATCGGTGTCGCCAATTAATGCGCCACCAGTGTCACCAATGAGTGCACTACCACCACCACCACCAATGTCGCAGAGGAGAGCATCATCAGTGACTTCGAGAAGGACACCATCAGTGACGCCAAGGAGTTTGACATCAAAGTCACAAAGGAGTTCACCATCAGTGTCACAAAGAAGTGCAGTTGTGTCGCAAAGAAGGTCACCTCCAGCGTCCACCAGTGCTCCTTCACCAGCGCCCAGCCAGTCGAATGGTCAACAACAATTGCCCGCTGACATTCCGCCACCACTTGATCCAACTTTAGATTTGCAGCCGGACAGTCCACTGCCGCCGGTGGAGCACCTTCAGCAAATTCAGTTTCAGGCCAATCGGCAGCACTTCAACAAATCGCGAGAGAAGAATAGACACTCCATTTACTACACCTACAATGTTCAGAATATACTGGCCGAACTGAGCAACCTCCAATCGGCGCGGCATAATCAACAGACGGCTCAACAGACGGCTCAACAACTGGCCCAACAGACGGCTCAACAACTGGCCCAACAGATGGTTCAGCAACCAGCTCAACAACCGATTCAACAGCCGGTCCAGCAATCGTTTCATCAGCCGTTTCAACAGCCGATTCAACAGCCGGTCATGCAACCGGCCCAACAACTGATTCAGCAGCCGATGGTTGT